CCCCGCCACATCTGGCCTAAAGGGCCCTGGCCCTGCGGGGTCCCACCATCTACACTCCCTGGAACTGGAGGCCTCCCCGAAGGTCTGAGGAGCCCAGGAAGGTGGGGCAGAGGGGGGTGGCATTTACCAACGCAGCAAAGGGAGTGGGCCCCCAGTGCGTGGGGGGCCTGTGTGCCCCCGCCTCCCTCCGCCCCACTGAGCCCCGCTGACGGGAGCCGCTTGGGTCCCAGCCCCGGGCCTTTGTGAAGGCCATTTCCTCTGCCAGGCGTGTCCTTCCCACTTTCCGTCGGCCTCATTCCCGAGTATCAGGCGGTTCTCAGCTCGGGGTCCGAGCATCCTGACCTTGTGCAAGAACTTTCATCCCTTCCACCCCGGTCCTAGCTCTGCACCTGGGGCTGGCGCCCAGGTGTATGCAATGAGTCCACGGCCACAGGTGCACCTAGGGCCAGGCCCAGGTGTGTGCAGTGAGCCCATGGCCACAGGCCCACGCAGGTCAGGACTTTTATTACCTGTATTGCTGGGGGTGGGTGGGTGGATGCCCCAGGGGGCAGTGCAGGCCCGTGGGCCTGGGGGCTCAGCTCTGCTTCCAGGAGCTGGAGGCGCTGCTCAGGATCTGGCTGAATTGCGAGGTGACGCGGCACAGGTGGGAGCCCTCCCAGAAGACCTTGCCACAGCCAGAGCAGCAGTAGAAATGGCGTAGCCCCGGCCGCCGCAGCACGCCCTCTGGGACCCCTGCCAGCTGCAGCCGGGTGCCACTGGCCAGTGTGGCAGGCGCACCAGCCCGCAGGTCTGCGGCCTCCAGCCAGCGGCAAGGTGGGTCGTAGGTACAGCCCCCGGGGGCCTCCTCTGGGGCTGAGCCTGGAAAGGTGGGGGGTGGGCGGCCACTCTGGGCTCTCAGCCTTATGGTGGGGTGGGGTGGGAGGGGCTGCGGGGATGGTCTCGCCTCCACCCTGTTCCTTCCGGTGCCTCTGCCCTACACTGCCTGGTCCCCCCAACGCTCTGCCTCATCTTACCCACGGACCCCTGGCCCTCTCTCCCCACTGGCCCTGCCCGCTACCCCTCGCCTAGGGCACGGGCCCATCCTCTCAGGGCAGTCCCCTCTCCTGGGCCAGGAACAAACCCTGTCAGTGGGTGGTCCCAGGGCTCACCTGCTTCCTGTATGTCCTCGCTCTGGGTGGCCTCATCACCTGGCAATCAATTGAGGACATCAGGGACTGTCCTAAGGGTGGGTCCTGGCAGCCCCAGTGCCCACAATGCACCTCCAAGTGCCCAGCCTCTCCCCCCACCCTTAGCAGAAAGGGCAAAGGGTAGGGGGCTGAGGAGCTTTGGTGCCAGCCTGATCCCCTCCCATGGGAACTCACACCTTGGAATGTTCTTGGGGCTCAAAGGTCCTTGGGAAACAAGTTCTGGGCGTGAGATTGGCCGATTAGGGCACTGGGGGCCTGAGAAAGGGCCGGTGGGGGCGGGGGCATCCCATTCGTGGTGATGAGAAGATAAGCTACTGCCAGGGCCTGTGTTTCATAGCAGCAGGGCCCAGGGGACCTGCTGGAGCTCAGGGCGACCTCTGACTCTGCAAGAGGGTCCCTACCTCCGCTAAGAGCACAGGAGACTCCAGGGAGGTGGCCAGGCCTCGGGCTGCTGAGGGGCCAGTGCAGGCGTGAGGGCAGTGATGGCTGAGGAGTCCTAGCCGGCAGGCGGAAGAGTCCTACCCCTAATTTGCTTGGCAAACATCTCTCCACAGATGGCTCCAGATTAACTTTAGCCAGAGCCTGAATGGATGAGCACTCCCCCCCCCCCCCCCCCCCCCCCCCCCCCCGCCCCGCAACGCAATGAGGCCATGACCTCCATCTGGTCTCCCTCTCGCGCCCTAGTCGGTCTGGCCTCAGCCTTTACCTGGAGGCCCACGAGATGCCAGCAGGCCCGCAGGAGGGCCACCCACCACCTCAGGACAGGCGTGGGCCTCTGGGCAGAGCGCTGCTGGCTCAGAGGAGCCGGGAGCCCGGTGGCGGGGCGGCTCTGGCAGAGGGCAGTGCTCGTACTCTGCTCCTCCCTTCCTGGGCCTTGCACATGTCAAGGCCACACTGCGGAGAGCTGAGAGCTGCTGGGGGCTGGACACAGGCCATCACTATGGCTCACCTGAGGAGCTCCAGCCCCAGCTTCCAGGGGGTTTCGGAAGAACAAGAACACCCTCGCGGGGACGTCACCGTCCGGGAGAGCCACGGCGAGCCGTGCAAAGGGATCTCAGAGGCGCCCAACCTCAGGCTGACCCCCCTGGAGAGAGCACTAAGACACTCTCCTATCCGTCCCATCCTTGCCCTCCGCTGAGGAGCAGCCGGGAGCCTGGGGAGGAGCTGCGAGGCTCCCTCTGGTGCCCCTCTCTCTAGAGGGTGGGGGAGCCGGTGATAGGAATGGAAGGGCACACTCACTGCCCCAGCCAGCGACTTCAAAGTCTCCTTCCAGTTTCTAGTTTTACAAGGGTGGAAACTGAGGCTGGGTCCACGGTTGAGGGGGTTGACATCTGGGGTTTGCCCTCCTTCCTGTCTGTCCGGGATCGTCCGCCTTCAGATTGCTTAGCAGGTGCCAGTGTGCAAGCAAATGTGCATCTGTGCACGTGCACATGTGTGCACAAGTGTGTACAAACAGGTACGTGCCGGCACACATGCCTGTGTGCGTGTGCACTCTGTGTGAAGGGCAGGGTGACCGGAGGGGGGGGGACCCCACCCCAGAGGGGCCCTGAGTGTCTCAGCTTCCTGGCCTCCTGGGCCTGTAACCTTTGCGCAGCATGAGCTCTGTCTTTCCACCGGCCCCTGGCCGGCACCTCCCTGGTCATCCCTGCAGTTTAACCCCACAACTGGGCCACTGTCCACAGAGCCCACAGAGCCCACGCCTAACCCCATGGGGCAACATACCTGTGATGCTGGGGCCTTCCGGGCGGCTGCTGAGCCTCACCAGCTGCTTCATCATGTCCTTGGAGACCTTCAGGTACTGGTCACAGTTACAGGCCTGGGGACAGAGGGGGTGCTGAGGCTGGGTGAGGCTCTGCCCACCTCCCACCCCCAGCCTCAGGCTCCTTGCAGCTCTGGGTCTGGCTAGGGGGTTTCACAGAGACAAAAGCACACATCCCTTCCTCTCCTTGCAGGACAGGGCACACCTCCTCCTGGGAGCCCTCCAGCACGGCACTGGATCCTAGTGGGCCCTAGGCAGCCTCTTCTGGCTCATGAGACCCTGTGGGCCTCTGTCATCACCTGGGCTGTCCGCCCCAATCACAGAGCCTCGAGGGCACAACCAGGCCTGGGCATCCCTGGGCTAGCTCAGCATCAAAGGGTCAGGGTAAGAGGCTTGCAGCGGGCCCCTCAGCCAGGCCGTTTCAGTGTCCGTGTTTCTCGATGATGCCTGTTGCCTGACCCCACCCCCCCGCCCCCGGGGCACCACATCTACAAGGGATCAGGAGGGAAGCCACTTTTGCTTCTATTTGGGGTCCTTGTCTAGGACGTGCAATGGCTCTGGGAAGGCACTCAGCTCGGCCCTGCTGACCTTGCAGTGACACTGGGGGTGGGGGCAGGGGCTTCTGGGGCCCATCCTGTCCTCCCAACACAGCTGCCCCAGGGTTGCTTCATGATGGCCACTGACTGACAGGGTGAAGGACCCCAGGGTCCCCATGATGAGGTAAGGAGGGCCCAAGGGAGAGTGAGAGGGGCCACTGGTTCCCAGGCAGGTGGGCACAGGTGCTCACGGACACATGCACAGCCAGTCACAGCCCTTCCCCAAATCAGAGCGGCCTGTAAGAGGAGGATGAGCCTAGAGCAGGGCCTGAGGGTCGGAGGGGGCGTTCTGGGGCCACAGGGAGGAGGGGTCCATGATCTGGGCTCATGGGATCACTCCCGGGCCCCTCCTGGAGGAGCCTGACCAGTGCCCTGAATGACACAGCTCCCAGGGGTGGGTGGGTAGGTGGCAGCCACCAGCCCCTGGAGCCTCAGGGTGTGCCCACGTCAGGGGCGGTGCCCCCTGCCCCCACACGCCCTTTTCCCATGGGCCTTTCGACACCATGAGCTTGCTGTACTGCATCCAGCATCAGGAGCCAGGGCCTGGGGGCGCCGGAGGGTGGGGCCACCTCTTCGGGGAGGCCTGGGTGGGGCTGGGGCAGGGCTGGTGCCGGCAGGACCCTTCCTCCTGCCTCTCTGGGGGGGGTGCCTCCTGTCCCCTGGCCACCTCTCTGGCACGGGGAGTCTGCCGTGGGCCCTGGCCTCCTGGTCACAGACCCAGGGACCTTCCTGGGCAGGAGTGCAGGTGGAGCCCCGGCCGCAGGTCTAGCCTGTGGTCACTCCAGGTCCAGCTGGGGAAAGGGTGGTCGCTGCCCTGGGCTGCCCACCACAGAGAACCGCGTTCGCCCTCCTCCCCCCCCTACCCAGGCCCCCCCAGGGGACGGAGCCTGTAGGTGTGAGAGGGATGCTGCATTAGTGGGAGGGGGTGGGAGCCTTCCCAGGACCTGGGCCTGATGCACACACCTGGGCGGGACTGCCAGCTCACGCTGAGTCACGGCACGAAGACAAACCACCGGTGCCATCCACAAGGACCTGGCCCCACCCTCGGGAACCACCGGTGCTGCTTTTCCCACGGCTGCTGCCCACTGCTGGGCCCTGCCGTCACCCCATAGGGCCCTGGGAGGCCCTGTCCCACCCCCACCCCCGGCTGGAAAAGCCGGTTCTACATGCTCACCCCCTCTCTGCCCTGTGCTCCCCATCTGCAGGAAGGACCAGCACCTAGCGGCTCCCTGTGTCTCCTGTCCCCGTCCCCTGCAAGGTCCACCTGCCTCACACAAGGCTGAGGCCCTGCTCTTTGGGGCCCATGGCCCAGCACCCTTCCTGACACCAAAGGGGGAGACATTGCCTTTCATTATGAAGGGGGCTTCTGAGGGGCTGAGTAACTTGCTTACAGGGCCCTTGGCTAGCGAGGACCCCACACCAGGGTCCTCACGCTGACCCTTAGGAGAGGGGGTATGTGCAGGTGGTGTCTGGGCCATGCCTACTCTCCCTTGGGGGACACACAAACCCGAGCCCTGGGATGCCAGTGGGCCTGGACAGACTGCAGCGGGGGTCCCGGGGAAGGCCCTGGACAGGGGCTGGGTGTATGGTCTTGAGAGTCCAGCCTGGTCTCTGTGTACCCCCATTCAGTCTGGGATTCTGAGGGCGGGGAGGGCCTCCAGCCCCAGAGCCTGGCTGGGCGGGCAGGGCCAGGTGAGTCGGGGGCTGGAGGGGCTGGAAAGGCTCGTGGCTTCCTGGTGCCAGGAGTCCACCTGCGTGCCGGGTCCCCACAGCTCTTACAGCTGCTTGGAGCCAACACCCACTTGCCGTGCTGTCCCAACTCAGGGCACTCTGTCCGCCTGGGGACTGTCTCGGCCAGAGACCTGAGCCCACAAGGGGGAGGTTGCCTCCCAGGGGCTGGGCTGCCAGCAGTGACTGGTCATCGGGACTGCTGGGGCCCACAGACTGGGAGTTAGGCAGACTTGACCTTTTGGTCCACCCTCTGCAGCCCCTTGCCCCTCCCTGGGGCCTGGGGAGGGCAGGAGAGGCCTGCTTTGGCCACTTCTCCAGGAGGCTCTGTTTTCTGGGCTTCTTGGGGGTGTGATGAGAGGCTATAGCAGGCACTTGGGACACCTGCCCGTTCCACTGAGGCTAAGACTTGGCAGGGGGGAGCTGGGGGGCTTTGAGGGGCCATGCCCAAGGGCGGGGCCTCCTCTCAGGTCTGAACCCAGGATTCGCAGTCACACTCGCCCAAGGAGTGGTCGTGGCCAGCAGACCCAAGACCTGTGCAACAGGCAAGGTCACAGCAACTGTCCTGAAGTCTGCGTCCCTGGAAATGTCTGTGTTCCCACCTGCCCTGGGTGCAGGGCCACCCACACACACACAACCCTGGTCAGCATGCCTGCAGGTGTCTGCTGTGCACAACCAGCGGACAGCTGGCACACAGGTGTAGAGTGCAGAGGGGCACGCCCCAGCCAGGGCCACAGAACGGGCTGGGCAGGGCCAGCAGGCAGCTCGGAGGGGCCCTTGTACACGTTCCTCTCCAGAGGCGACCAGCCCTCCCTGGGCCCAGGACAGCACAGCCCTGTTGGTTGCTTGTAAACACCCTTGGGCCCCCATCAGCCTTGAGCCCCAGGCCTCAGCAAATGGGGGGTGGGTGTGAGGGGGAGAGGAGGGCGGGATAGAAGCCATACCTGGGACTCACCCGGGCATGGGGTATGAGAGAGAACACGTGTTCCTAAGGGTGCAGGGCCTGCCTAGGCTGGGACCCCAGAGAAGGGACCCCCGCCCTAAGAAGGACGTGAGTGGGGCCTCCTGCCCAGCCAGCAGCCAGGTCCATGACCTGAGCTCCGCACCACAGGCTGGCTGCCTGGGGAGTTCACACCACCCTGCTTCCCCAGCTCGGTAGGCACTAGGCACCGCTGAGAGTTTTAGGCTCCAGCTGGGAAGTGGGCCCAGGCCACTTGGGTGCCCTCCTTCTGAGCAAGGGGCAGGGTTGTAGAAACCTCACTCCTGCCTGACGGTAAGTGCAGTCCAGGCTCCAAGCGGGGGCCCTGCCAGACCCCTGCAGGCCCCACCCCCAGTGGGGGAGGGGGGAGTCATTCTGGAGCCCAGGCCCTGGAAGGCCAAGTTTGGGGATTTCTGACCCACAGGCAGGGCGGGTGGGGGCTGGGCTCAGAAGCTGTGGCATGTTCTAGAGTAATGGGCTATTTCTTGCTCATTTAGAGCAAATTGGAACAAGAGCGAAGCATAAAAAAGCAGAAGAAAAGAAACAGCACTTCGTCCCACCGCCTGGTGGGAAAAGCCAACGCGGCACTGAGAATGGTTTCCGGCACCTTCCTGAGCACATCTACACACGGCCAGTGTCTCGGATGCTCCGGTCAGGGTAGTGGGAGCCCTGGAGGGTCTCAACTTCAGGACACCAGCATCCCTGTTCCCAGGGTGCTTTTCTGCCCATTTGGTCCCTGCCAAGTGCCACCTCCCCCTACAGTCCACACTTGCTGTCCTGAGGCCTCCCCAGGCTGGCTCATCCACCGTGACCGCCCCCAGGGCCACCCTAACAAATGGCGCCGGGTGCAGGGCCAGAGGGCTGGGATGAAAGGCCACTGGCCTGACACCTTGCCCGGACGGGGCGGGAACAAAGCCCCAGAGGAAGCGGTGAGGCCTGGGTCTGCTCCACACCTCCCTCTCCCACACCATCCAGGCAGCACCTCGTGGGGCCCTGAGCCATCTGCCCCCAAAGGTGATGTGGCCCTGGAGGGGAGCACGACTGCTGGGGCTGGGGCCCTCCTCCAAGACAAGCACATCAGCCAGCTTTGCCCATGAGGACCCTGCTGGCCCCTGGCACGGGGTGTTGTCTGATTGCCCAGAGGAGACGGGACAAGGGGCCAGGAGGACGGAGCCCCCTCCCCGCAGCTGGCCCACAGGGCATCTGTGAGATGTGACCCCATCCTGCTGGCCTGGGGCGAACGCTGGACAGAAGGGCCAGGACCCAGGCCCTGCAAGGAGTGCGTGGCTGGGGCCGATGCACAGGCCTGCATGGGAAGGTTTTCAAACCCAACCCTGGTGCTCTTCTGTCTGTGGAGCAGGCCCTCCTGCCGGTGGCCTCCAACCTGGATGTCTATGACCCGGGACAGCAGCCCTACAGGGGCCATGCTCCAGCGCCAGCCCTGTCCCCAGGCCCGGGAAGGCCAGTTCCCACGGGCCCATCCCTTTGTAGGCTCAGGACAGTGTCTCCACAGACACAGCAGGGCCTGGGCACAGTCAGCATTGTGTGGGTTCCCTAGGGGGTCAGGAGCCACTGGCACTGGGGCGTGTGGGGTGCAGGAGTCCCCGAGGGGCTATGACTGGGCACGTGTGTGAAGCCGGCGCCCTGCAGGCGTCTCTCTCATAAGCATTCCGGCATGAAGGGCGCAAGAGCACTGAGGGTGTGTGTGCACGTGAGCAGCACAGAGGCATGAGCAGGAGTGAGTGTGGCTGGGT